AAACAGTGTGTAGGATTTAGTGGCATCTAGTGGTGAGGATTGCAGATTGCAACCAGCTGAAACCTCTCCAATGTACCAAGCTCAAACTCCTGGTTCGAATTCCTTCAGTATTTTTACAGTTCAGGAGGTTTTTGCAGAGGTCTCCTCCTCTTGAAAGGAGGGACCAGGTGATAAAAGTTGGTATAAACACTGAATAAAGCAATTTCATGTTCAAAAAAATGTGTTTTTCTGACACTGCTTGTCACGGAGGGGCTGATAACTATGGTGGCTGATGCAAAAATGTGAATGCCCCTATCTAGAGCCAGAGTTTGGTTTGTCCATTCTGGGCTACTGTAGAAACATGGAGGTGCAACATGGCAGACTCCATAGACGATGATCTGCTCCCTATGTAGATATAAACGGCTCGTTCTAAGGAAACAAAAACACAGCAACTCTCATTTTCAGGTGAATGTACTATAAAGAAAACATACTTAATATATTATATAACATTTCTGCTAATGTCCCGTTATAGTCCTACTACACTTTTAAGTCCATGTAAAGTCATTAGTCATTGGCGTTTAAGTCCAAGTCAAGTTCCAAGTCTTTTTTGATTTTGTCAAGTCGGGTCTAAGGTCATCAAATATTTGACACGAGTTTGACTCTAGTCCATGTGATGTGACTCCAGTCCACACCTCTGGCTGTAATTCTTTTCATTTCAGATTAATCCTCAGATTAATTTCTGGATTAAATGTTTATCATTTGTTCTGTAAAATCTCCATCACAATGTCCTGGAAAGCCAAGTTATTGTCTTCAAATTGTTTGATTTGCACAAAAAAAGTCAAAAACCTCAAAGATATTTGGTTTACACTTACACAAAACGAAGACTAGTGCAAATGCTCAGTTATTTAAAAACTGGAAGCAGAGAATGTTCAATTCTTTAGTTTGAAAAATGACAAAATCACTGTAATAGTTGACACGTGATTTTAAAGAGAACCAGCTTATTTGGAAACAAAGATATAAAGATATTATTTCAGACTCACCATTCTTAAATGTCATCAGGTGTGTGTCTCTGCAGTCTGTCCACCACCTGTCCAAACCTTTGAAAAGCTTTCATAGCACCTCCATCCCTGCTCCCTCCGAGGTTCCTTATTACTCAGGTTACATAAGACAGTCATCAGTTACCAAAGTCTTTACTGTCCCCCTCTTCTAATGATCATCCCAGGAAAAATGAGCAGCCCACAAATTAGCTTCCTGCACACACACACATACATACACATGCAAGGTACACAAGCATACACTTGCACCTTGCGACCTCCCCCTGGCGTGTAAAGCCTTTATTAATACTTAAGCAGGAATTGAATAACGGTCTACACAGTTCACAAGTGAATCAAACACCCCACAGCTTTTGTTCTGCTGTCACAAGGACCTCCACCGCTGTCACCAATTAGACTTCACACCCGTATAACTCAAGCACCTCAGGCGACACTGAGCTTATTCATTACACAAGGCTGAAAAGGCAACACAGGAAGGATGGGAAACGTAATGTGAAAGGAAAGGCAAAAAAGATTTAAGGAGGAGGAGTAAGACTGGACACAGGAGGGGGGCGTGTTAAGGAAAGCCCAGACGCTGGAGCAGCAGAAACAGGAGACGCATTAGCAATTAAATTGCAGAGCCAGATGCGAGAGCAGGGTGGAAATTGACCCTGCCGCTTTAAAATGGAGATTGTTACAGCAAGGCTGCCAGTGACAAGAAGTGTGGAGGCTGAAGAGCAGGGCACCGGGGTAAAGTGATCCCACTCCATATGCAATTAGCCAAGGAGGCCTTTTAGGTTACAGCCAAAATACTGTAGGGGAAAGTTGAAGAGGAAGAGGGACGAAACAAGAACTGCGTTCCTTTTAGGATGGATGGAAAAAGAAGCTGCTGTCAAAGTTTGAGGCTGGATGGCGACCAACTCTTTCACTCAGAGATGATTTTAGAAACATTGGAAAGATTGTTGGCATCGGCCTGCCTCCCCAAAGTGTGCCAGCCAGTTGCTGCTCAGTGTGTCACCACTACACTGTGCCATCTGATATTGTAATAGCCCCATGGTGCCTTCAGGTCTACTCTACACCAGTGGAACCAGTGACTGATGGATGGTGCTCATGCCAGACTGCGTTTGCCCCACTTCCACGGCGACTGAATATCTCTGAGACAATTTGTTTATGTTGGTGTCACCAGTGAGAGGCACTCAGCTCCTGCATTACAAGATGTATCATTGGTTGTTTGACCCCAAGAAAGGACTTCACACTCTATGAATAACAACATTGTTCTTGTCCTCAAAATGTCAAGGGGAATTAGGACGACGTGATGCCAGGATTGAGGCACTTCTCGGAAGTCTTGATTTTGTCCCTTGTACTGCACCATACTTTTTCATGTAAGACAGAAAGTTTAGCACAGGAGTAAGCCCAGATATTACAACCTACAGACATAAAAGTCTGGCTGTCTGGCTTTCACGTGCCTCAAAGAGAGGACGACTGGCCTTGACCTTGTTGCAAGGATTTATAGCTTCAAGCATGTAGGGCCAACTTGCTTTATGTCAGCGTATACTTTCTCTGACCGGTTGGATATATAGGAGAGTATACCCACTTCCTCCTCTGTAACCAACCCATCGAACTTGTAGTACAACCACCTCATTAACTACCACTACACCACTGAGTCAACCTTATCAATACCAAACATACTATAACCATCTGAGAGAGCATCCCATTGGCATGCTGACTGCAGGAATGTTCACCAGAGCTGTTGCCTGTTAACTTAATATTCATTTCACTTCCATAAGTCGTCTCCAGTGGTGTTTCCCTTGATTCGGCACTACATCCAACTGGCGTCACAACCACACAAGTTGATCTGCTGCCAGGTCAAAACCCTGGTGGGGACAATGAGCATGCAGATGAGCTTCTCTAAGGTAGTTTCAGATGGTTTGTGCAGAAATTCTTCGTGCAAATCAGTTGCTGTTCGGGCGGCTGGTCTAAGACAATCTTGCAGGTGGAGGTCCTGAGCTGATGTGGCTACATGTGGTCAGGCCGATTGAATGTACTGCCAAATTAATGGAAATGACATTGGAGACGACTTATGGTTGTGTAATGAACAGTCAGCTCATGCGCAAAGGCCCTGCTGGACATTCCTGCAGTCAGCGTGCCAATGGGACGCTGCCTTAAAACTAAAAATTGTGTTGTGTGATCAAACTGCACATTTTAGAGTGGCCTTTTACTGCGACAAAGTTGTGACCAGAATTTGAGTGAAATATATTCACTGAGTGCATGAAAAAGTCTTAGATCTGTGAAAAATGCTAGCATAGTATTTAAGTATATAAAACACTAAATTAAGAACCTAGCACACCAGGCTACCTACAAGGGGTGAAGTCCTCATCACCAAGGGTTAAAATTGCGGACCACATACAAATAAGCACAGTACCTTCTAATTCATCTTAAACCAGTCACACATACACAGTAACCTAATTTTATTCATGATGATGAAGATACAGAAAAACAGAAATTCATCCATCCATTTTCATCCGCTTAGCCGGGGCCAGGTTGCGGTGGCAGCAGACTAGCTAAGCACCCCAGACGTCCCTCTCCCCAGCAATGCTTTCCAGCTCCTCCTGGGGGACCCCAAGGTGTTCCCAGGCCAAACAAGATATGTAATCCCTCCAGCATGTTCTGGGTCTACCTCGGGGCCTCCTACCAGTGGGATGTGCCCGGGACACCTCCAGCAGGAGGCGCCCAGGAGACATCATTATCACATGCCTGAACCACCTTAACTGACCCCTTTCGGCGTGATGGAGCAGCGGCTCTACTCCAAGCTTCCTCCGGGGGTCTGAGCTCCTCACTCTATTTCTCAGGCTGAGCCCAGCCACCCCACGGAGGAAACTCATTTCAGCCGCTTGTATCCGCGACCTCATTTTTTCAGTCACTACCCAGAGCTCATGACCATAGGTGAGGGTTGGGACGTAGATGGACCAGTAAATCGAAAGCTTTGCCTTCCGGCTCAGCTCCCTCTTCACCACAGAAAAAACAGAAATGCATAGCAAAAATAGCATAGTGTTTTAGAGACCCCCAAGATTTTCACACATCATGTTTTCAAGGGAGCTCATGTCTTGTTAAAGGAGCCAAGCTCTCCTGTGGTTCACTCCCTGTTGACACCTCACTACTGAAGTAATCCAGAAGGGCTGTAAACATTTTAAACTGCAGGGAAATCTACTTTATAGGCAACTTTCTTAAGGAGTTACATCATAACCTCAACTTCCTGATACCAAAGGATTATAATGTCATGGTGATGCTCTAACCAACTGGTCTATTGATATAAAATTTGTGGAAAACAATGTTGCTGTCTTGTCATTTGAAATTAAGACATTTTGCTTATGCATTTTTAAAGCATGTAATGATCTTGGGCTTTTTTGTTCGATGTGTTTGAATTCAAGTCTTTGTCGGTCAGACAAGACAGGCAATATGAGGAGCTTTTTCTCTACCACTTTCTGATAAACAATTAATTATTTAATAGAAAAACAACCAACAGATAAATAGATAATGAAAACAATTAGTTGCTTCCCTCAAGGATTTTTCAAGATGTCGCCAAAGATTGGATCTTCTTCATTATTAAGGGGAATTAACACTTAAGAGAATTAAACCAACAGTCATTAGTATTATTTATTCATTATTTGCTCTGGTAATCAATTAATTGAAAAAAAAGCAGATCCCAATTTCCCAAAGCCCCAAATTAATTATTTAAATATTTTTTAACTAACCAATTTTCAGTTTCCTATGACATAAGAAATATTCTGTTAATCAACTAATCGGTTAATATACCAATAATTTTTCAGCCATTTGTCTGTTAGTCATCTTTGATTGGAATTTTTTCCCTACTTGATAAATTCCAATCATTGGTTCATTTTCTGTATAATTTGATAAAACCCCACAAAGTTTAATTGTTAAATTGCGATTGCACATTCTGATTTAAAGAAGAAAACCGTTAAAGACACAGAATAGTCATCCACAATTATCTTTATCGTCGTCGTTATGATTTTACATCTCAGCAACACAATGCAGAATAAAAACACAAAGCTCTTTAGAGGGAGCCGCTGCAGGTGATTGGTCGTCGTGAGCCGAGGCAGGGAAAGTTAGAGGCCCAGAGCATTACAGTGCATGGAGTGTTGGACGTGTTGGGGCACAAAGACAGCAGAAATAAAGACAAAAGGGACAGAAATATAACATTTCTCTTTACATTTAACACTTGAAATGATGAAGGCACTTGAAAATGACAAGGTAGTACAAAATGTAAACCATACTTTGGTGTTTCATTTTTACCTCTTTACTTGAGAATTCATTAAACATATTTTTTTTTTCCTTTCTACAAAATGAACCAAAACACTGACAATGAGGAAGATCTCAGGTGTAATATCGAGAATAAATATGAAACAAAATTGAAATCATACTCTCTGAACTTAAAAAGAAATCAGGTTTGAAGTGAAATTAAACACCATAACTATGCTTGTTTACTATATTTAGTCGATGCTGATCTATAGGAGAAACCATAAAGTGCATCTTCGGATGGATGGGAAAAACAACACTGAATGGAAATGCTATTGACTCTTCAGCCCATAAAGAATTCATAAACAGTTGCTGATTGGTTTGGGTTACGCTCAAACTAATTGCTCCCAAATTTAAACTGTCGACTGGACTGAAAACAAAGCAAAAATAAAATCACAAAACTAAAAAGATATTAAGCATCAACAAAACATTTAAAAATGATCTCTGTGCATTCTGCTTCCCACAAAGGCAAAGCATTTAAGACAAACTTCCATACAAGGCACATTTCAGACACACGTGGCGGATGTAGCACCTTCTCGCACTTTTTTCAGACTGTTAAAAAAAAAGATACTCCAATTACTTTGTTTTAAACATTACTGGAACAAATATATTTTTAGAAAGTGACAAACTGGCAGCTGCAATAACTAACTTGCACAAGTTGGTTATTAACTGATACTTCAGTAAATAGACGTAAATCAGGTTATGGTCCATAGAAAGACATCATTCACCTTAGAGCTCCTCACCGTGTCACTGACTTCAGTGTGGTTACTTAGAGCAAAACAAAATCAGTCAAGTTTAAGGGCGGTAATACTTGGAGGAGTTTTAACTGACTGTGCAGGAAGGGAGTGCCCGTCCTAACCACAGCGTCTCTTTAAAACGCCTCCAGGAACAAAACATAAAGCTACAAGCAGGCAGATCTGGCATGTGGCAACTTGGTCAACAGCACAAAATGCTGGCAAAAAGCAAAAGAGACTGGAGGGGAGAGAAAAGAAGAGAAGGTGTGTGTTTAATGAGATAACCACTCTGCTGCTTAGGTGCTAAGCAGATCATTGTGGTTCTCCACCGCAGTCTTCCTCTCTCTGTTTAATTCAATGTAATCCACAGAGAAGTAAAATTACCCACACTGGATTAGCAGGGTTTCAGAAAGGAGGGTAAAAATGCATATGTGTGTGTGCTGCCGCCTGTTGCCCCTTTAGACATGCCACGCTCCCGTTCTTTGGCTTTTCAGGTAAGGCCACATGTGAGGGCCCATCGTCACTCCTCACACAGCCTCATCTCTCAGTCCGATCAGTCCTTCTTACTGTGGTTGTTGTTGAGGACAGTGTGGCCGTTCTGCACGTGGCCGTTCCTAAACTTTTCTCTCTGCTCGTTGTCTTCCTCTTCTGACTCCGTCTCCTCTTTATCACTGCGCTCGTCCTCTACGATATCCTGCACAGAAAAAATGAAACAAAATGTGTTCAGTTGCTGGTTTGTGTTGAAAATATGTCGTACATGATGCTGACAGTGGTGGTTCATACATTGCCTGGCAGGAATTTGACGACCATGCGCAAGATGAGCGCAGCCCAGAAGATGTGCAGAGTCTGTAGCACAAACATTAGCCCGTTGAAGAAGTAGAAGCCGAGGAAGGGGGGATAGAGGGTCAGGGGGTACACCCACGTCGTGTATATGATCCTGGACGAGGGGACAAAGGCAGAACAGAGAGTCCAGTCAGAGCCACCTACAGTCACCATCAAAAGCCCATTGAGAGGAGCCAGGACTGTACACAACGTGTCTGTTGTTAGGTCTCCATGAAATTGTTGCTCAAGTTTTACACAAATTCATGAATTTTCTGCAAAATCAATCTGTGCATGTTTCCAACAATCACCTGTATGACAACATGTTCAATATGTTGGGGACTATTTTCAGCCGCAGATTAATGTTGGTGTCTCAAAATCAACAATCGCCAGAAAAAAATGTTGGCATTATGCATTTCAGAAAACCCCAGATACGTTACATTTGCATGTGATTATGCAGGAGATATGTTAAAACTTTACATTTCAACTATGCTGTGGTTAATGTGTGGTTACGTTTGGCACAAAAAACACTTGGTTATGGTAAGAAAAAGATCATGTTTTGGCTTAAAATTCACAGTTTTCGGGGCACAATCTCTGCTGGAAATGCAGCAATGTCTCTGTAGGAACAACAGTTTTTCGTGGCACTATCCATTTTATCTATTTGCCTACACAGCAAACATTCACTGTTGGTATAAATCTTTATCACATCTTCTCTTTACATGACTGTTTTTCCACCTGAGCCAAGCAGAAAACTCTTCTGGACATATGTAAACCGTTTTCAAAGTTCTTGCATTTCCATTTGACTTTTCTTTAAATGTACAAATTGAGAATCCAAAATACAAAATTCTGCTATGCTTTTACCAAATGTGTGCAAAGTGTCAATGCTGCACAAATGTCCGTGATGTTCCTCTCATACAGCGAAATCAGTGACTCATCACAGTTACAGTAAATGTGTTGTAACACTGTTTTTACCAGAAGGGGAGGATTATGAGGCGGGTGATGATGAAAACTGCAGCGAACACTGTGAAGATGAAGTTGCAGGTTTTCCTCCAACCTGCATAGTTGAACATTTTGGCTGACTGGAAGGAGAGAGAGAGAGAGAGAGATCAGTGAGTGTTTTACCCTTTTCATGTATTGGCCTCTAGAGGGCAGACAGTGAACTGTGTGTGCTGTTCAGTGCCCTGACTTAAACAGTCATAAAACTATTCAGCAATGCTAAATGTTATGAAGACTAGAGGAAGGGCACACACACACTAAATGCTTATTAATATGTGTACAATAAAAAACACATTTTATCAGTGAAACATGTTACTTTTCTGCCACATCAGCACGCTGTCATACCTCCATTAAATAGTCGGAGGCGTCATGCACTAACATGATCAAAGTCCCTGCCCGGATGTAGTTGACCAGCCAGGAAAAACTGATGAGAGCGATGGTGGCTACATGGTGAATTATCTGCTCTTTGAAATCCTGGGGGGAGAGAGAGAGAGAGAGAGAGAGAGAGAGAGAGAGAGAGAGAGAGAGAGAGAGAGAGAGAGAGAGAGAGAGAGAGAGAGAGAGAGAGAGAGAGAGAGAGAGAGAGAGAGAGAGAGAGAGAGAGAGAGAGAGAGACAGACAGACAGAGACAGACAAAGACAGAGAGACAGAGAGAGACAGAGAGACAGAGAGAGAGAGAAAAGGAACAGAAAGAGATGTTGTAAAAACAAATCAAACAACATTTTGTCACTTATTGATCAAGCCGTAAAGATCGGTCACTCATCGACAGCGTGTGTTCCAATGGATGCTGGATTTACAAATGATTAACTCTCCACACATTGCAGATTATACAGCTACACCGCTATAAAAAGACATTAAATCCATATACAGAAGCAGTAAAAAGGAACCTAACACAAAATAAATCCTCACGTTGGATTTCAACACAGAGGATCTCCAGGAAAACTGTTATTTTGGTTTAAAAGATTAGTTGGTTGCGTTTGTGGGCTGTGCTTATAAAACAAGAGCTGGCACAGAGGTGGCAGGCTGGAAGGTCTTGCCATCTTTCACAACAACATTTAGACCTGCGGACGAAACGGTCAGTTTGACTCTCCACAGTTTGATTTCCCACAAAACTCTGGTCACACATTAACTCCTGGGGCACCTCTAGATGCAACACCCCCCGACCAACAGTTTAGTTTGTTGCTTACTCACTCTGACTTTACCAAACTGACATAGTGGAAGAGAACGAGTGAAGCCAAACATTATCTTTAATGGCGTTCTGAATGCCGACAGCTCCACTCAATATAATCCATAAAGTCAGGACATCTTAATGGGGAAATCAATATGCAAACCGCAAAACACACTAGCAACACAACAGATCATTCTCATTATTTCATGCACTCTGTGAGCAATCTCTCCTGATGGAAAATTTCTGAGGGGTTTTAGAGTGTGCCCACACTGGATAACAATGTTAGGCAGCTCGCTTACCTTACGTTTGACATCCGATGCTACGCTAAAAAGCAGCGAGAGATAGAAGCCTAGCTCGATCATGTAGTACCAGTACTGTGAAGGCAACAGTGGCTGGAAGAAAAGAGGAAGAAGAAGAAGCTGTTAGGACAATATGACATCAGTAATTTTACCTCTTAGTTTGTCATCGTAAACAAATGATTCAACTCGGATGGGGGCAGCTACAAAACATATTTTAGCCATCCCAAAAAACATCAGTTTAAAGGGAACTTTCGGTTTATTTCAACCTGTCTCCTATCGTCCTAAATTTGTTTCAAGTCACTAGTGACATAGAAATAATAGTTAGCATGTTAGCCGTTAGCCTAGATACAGCCGGGCGCATAGTAGCGTCAGACCTGTTGAACGGGCAACCTTCAAGTGCAAAGTTAGTCCACTAAACAAGCTTTTTTTCCACAAAGACCGCCTCATATCGTTAGGATAAATGTCAGAGAACATATAGAAAACGACATGTAAACGTGTTGTCTTACCTTACCGGTGTGCTGCCATGTTTGTTTACCCCTTTAGCTCTGCTTTCCAAAGTGCGGCCGAAATATATCTCGCCAGCTCTAGATAAAGCCCAGCTGGATACTAACGTTACTCCAGGTGGAGGTGTCTCGTCCTCGGTCACATCCAGACCTTGAAAATAAGGCTGCAACCGCTCCCATTCCTTGCAAAAGAGGCATTCCTCTTCTGTGGGCATTGGGGCACAGCATTCACAGGTACACCACCAATCTCCAGAGCTACGCAGCGTTGCAGCAGCCATTCCTCCTCTCTCGTCCTCTAACGTTACCTGTTGCACCTCTCTCTCTCTCTCCTCCATTCTTCAATTTCACGAAGCTCTTCGTCAGTGTATTCTGGCTCAAATAAATAAGGGTGGCCATCAAACTCTGCAAAATCAAATTCCTCCTCCACAAAGTCGAAGTCTGGCAAAAAGTCAGCCATTATTCTATAAATCTTTCATAAAATAAATGAATGAACTGAAAGGCAGAACCGGCTACTGTCCGGTTCTGCCTTCCAGCTGTTGCTGCTTGTTCAGGCACGCTATGAGATCACTGCTTGTTCTCGCGATATTTTGGCCACGCTTTGGAAAGCAGAGCTAGATGGTTAAACAAACATGGCACCACACCGGTAAGGTAAGACAACACGTTTACATGTCATTTTCTATATGTTCTCTTACATTTATCCTAACGATATGAGGCGGTCTTTGTGGAAAAAAAGCTTGTTTAGTGGACTAACTTTGCACTTGAAGGTTGCCCGTTCACTTACGTTTTAACAGGTCTGACGCTACTATGCGCCCCGGCTGTATCTAGGCTAACGGCTAACATGCTAACTATTATTTCTATGTCACTAGTCACTTGAAACAAATTTAGGACAATAGGAGATAGGTTGAAATAAACCGAAATTTCCCTTTAAGTGAATGCTACATTTACATTATTTTCACTGCTTTACATTGCCATCAGACTGAAGCCGTTATCTATGCTCTCATCAGATCCACCAGACTCAAAAGAGTAATTTCACTTCACAGAACATGGGAACAGCTGGACAACGTCAGCCTCGATTGGTTAATGTGTTCATGTTTTTGTGTGACGTTGGTGAATCCGAAGTAACTCTTTAAAACACCAACTGTCTCCTTGAGCCGCTCTCCTGATGCTCTTTGCCTGGTTAGCACGAGCAAACACAGCAGCAGCAGCTAACATCCGACACAGAGCTGTTAAACAGTCCCAACAATCTCACACAGACACCAAAATGGCTCGTTAAATTCAGTAAAAACCGTCGGGTTACAGTAGTCGTATGATGCTAACAGTTAGCCCTGTCACTGTGTGTGTCACTCCCAGACACAGAGCTCACTCTCCCGCAGCAGAAGTCTTATGAAAAACAGAGAGAGGAGCAGGGAGGCACCAAGGAAAATCCATACACTCTGTGCAGCCCTACAATTAAATGAGTTGCAAAGTTGTGCAGTATTCACAGGGATTGTCTGAATTTGGGTTAATTGTTGAGATCACAACATCATGGAGGGACTGGTGGGTAATATACCGACTGTGGATAATTGCCTCATACAACCCCACTTCAAAAAACCTACCCTATCCCTTTCATTAAAAGAGAAATGTTCCAGATTATAGCACTGACATACCATTTTCGGGAAGCCATCCCACATCTGCTTCATATCATACAGCCATGGTTTCTGAGGAAAAATGGACACTCAATATTAATGAGGGTTTAAGTGTCCCACACAACACCACAAGCACTCTCATGCACAATCACCAAACAAGAACAAAGTGAAAAACAATCTTTGTGTTGCATCCCTTGGTACGTGCACTACGGCTACAAATGTCACAATTCAATTTCCCAGATTCTGACACAGTACTCACGTCAATAAGAACTGCCAGGCCAGCAAAGAAAGCAAGAAGGTAAAAGGTAAATCTCCAACTGTAAGAGAATGCACAGCAGTCTCAGAAATAAGTTAAACACCTCTCTACACAAACAAGCTTCAAACAACAGCACAAAGCTTTTGAGGTCCAACTTTTTTTTTTTGCTTGTTACTTCATAAAAATCCCAAGAAAATGATAAACTTATTATCATTTAAAAAAATTCTCATATTACACATCCCTAGTGTAGTAATTTAAACAGACTTAACACTGAATCCCAGTGAGCGGAAAACTCCTGACAGCTGACGGGAAACACCCATCAGCAAAAGTTTTACATTTTGCTGAATTTTTCACTGCTGACTGTTTTGCAACTGCATTTTAGAAATGCCTGTTTGTGGGTGGGGCGTCAGCGTTGCAAGCAGGGCTGCACGATATATCGTTTTTGTTTTGTTATTTAATCTTCATCTTGATGTCAACTTGTGCAAAAAACCATCACAAAAGACTGCCATATTTCCCTCAGGGATTTTTGAGTTAGTAAAAAGACAGTATGAATAGAAAACCACACTTTAATGTAAAGCATTCCTCTTTTATTGGTGACTTTTGGATTAAGTCTGAGGTTTAATTTGTTCATTGTTAATTAATAATTCTTCACTTTTTTTTTTAACTCAACAAGCAATTTGTAATATAAGTCTTGTGTTTAACGTTATCACATATTTTCCTCATACTGTGCAGCCCTAATTGAAAGCCAAAACACAGATGATGAAATCTGAATCTGAACTGAACCTTTAAAGCATCAAAGTCCATGTTCAGCGAGGTAAAAATACTGTTTTTGTCAATGGATTCTGGCTTTGATGAGAGCGTAGGTAAGTTTCACTTTTAGTTCAGTTTCCTGACAGACAAGGCTGTCTGTGTGGGAAGTACTGAGCATACGACTTGATAAACGAGACTTGGGAGTATGCAGCTGCTGTGTGACAGTTTGTAAATGGATGTTTTGATATAGTTTTGCTGTTTTTTTGGATTCTTCGTTCACCGTGAAGGCATGCAAGAATAAGTTTAATTCTCATATTCAACATAGCACAGGGTGAGTAACTGATATACAATGATCATCTGGGAGGTGAAGTGTTCCTTTAATGGCAGAAGAGGTATATCTACCTTGCTTCCCGAAATTTTTTGAGCTTGCTTGGCCGGTCCTGGTTCCTCCGCCGCCTGAACCACCTCTGGACCTGTCGCACTGAACAGCCCGCCTGTTTACTTAAACTCTCTATGGAGCTCTGGCAACAAAAGCAGGACAAGGAGAGAAGAGTCAGTTATGTCCAGTTGCACAATAATGACATAAGGCTTTCTATCATGTTGTCATTCTCATCCATGAATTATATTATTAGGCTCAAGCTGTGATATTCCCAAAAATAAATAAATAAATTAAATAAGAAGCAGTGCCAGTTTCCTTAAGTATGCAGGATGATTACCTGTGTGGGATGCTTTGATGTGCTGCAGAAATAGGACTCCAGGACGGGATTTGGTGGAGCACGAACACGCTGCTTGTCACTCACTCCCAACAGGGAGGCAAGAGGAGTCGCTACTGTCCTGGAAAGAGAAAAACACTGCTTACACATCATCTCAAAATTGTCAGCTACAAACATGCAAAGCAAACATGTAAAGAGGTAGATTAACATGCAAATGACACTGGCAAGACATAAGCAGTCACTGCTGGAGATGACTCACCTCTCGAATATCTGTCTGCAGACCAGGAAGCAGAAAGCGATGGGTATAGTAGCCCAGAGGTCCCCTGTTTTAGGGAAAACATGACCATCGTGGTCTTTCAGGTCAGCCCAGCCGTGGCCTTCTGGAAACCAAATCCAATCGGCCCATATCTGCTCTCTCAGCTGAGACAACATCTTAAAGATGAAACAGAGGGAGGACTTGTGAGTTCTTCTGTATTATGTAGAAGGAAATTAAGAGAGGTAATAAAAATAAGGTTTTGTCTGCTTGGTGATCTCCATTGAGATTTTCCATTAGATAAATTTAGCAACTCACTCAGCTGCGACAATATCCTGAGAGGAAGGAAAGGAAACAGAGGGCTGAGAGAGGATTGAGTATTGATTGGAAGTGATTAATCTCGCCGGGCATCTGCAACAGGCGCCGTATCTGGGCACTTCCTGTTCCAGATGAAGAGAAATGACGAAGGGAGGGTTTTGCTATGCTGCACACAATGCAATCGGAAAAGCTATGAGATTTCATTTGGAGCTCTAACCTGGACTTCAGTTTGGCACCAATATCCATTCCTTGAAAAACTATTTCCGCACCTGGATGACATGTTTACTCAGACACAGTTGTGTGAAATCGCTCCCCCGTTGACTCATCCAATCTCCCTATGTAATGAATGAACGCTCAATAGTTTGGAAGTCAATAGGGAGCAGTAAACAGCTGCTGAAAAGCCAACATAAGGGCCTTATCTTAAGATGAACAGAACTTTACAGAATAAATGTGCGTGCACCCAATAATGCCTCAGAGTTGTTATGTCTTCTTTTTGTGCAATTTAACAATTCCTTTTATTTCCAACACACTGTATCCGAATTATGTAAAGGAAATTGCACAATTAGCTCACCATGAGCGGATAATCTCTTGGGCAAGACGACTTGACTGTTAATGGAGTATTAGTCATTTCCACTGTGACCTACATAAAAAACTAATCCTACCAAGTAAAACAAAACAAGTGTGCCATATTCTATCATAGCCAGATAGTTAATATTTCATACATTACAAAGACTTATCTTGATGTTAACCACAGAAGCAAAGGCAAGTTTATTTGTATAGACCCTTTCAACAAGAAGGCAATTCAAAGTGCTTCAAACAAGACATTAAAAAGATATTAAGACAACACATAAAAGACACAGAGGCTATAAAAGGCAAGGAACAGGGTAACAGGGTAAAATAAATCTCAGATAAAAATGTGCTTCTCTAGATTAGTAGTCTTTTTAATTCATTCATTCATTCATTCATTCATTCATTCATCTTCTAACCGCTTCATCCTCTTGAGGGTTGCGGGGGGTCTGGAGCCTATCCCAGCTGACATCGGGCGAGAGGCAGGGTACACCCTGGACAGGTCGCCAGACTATCGCAGGGCTGACACATAGAGACAAACAACCATTCACGCTCACATTCACACCTATGGACAATTTAGAGTTACCAATTAACCTAGTCCCCAATCTGCATGTCTTTGGACTGTGGGAGGAAGCCGGAGTGCCCGGAGAGAACCCACACTGACACGGGGAGAACATGCAAACTCCACACAGAAGGGCTCCCACGCCCGGGATCGAACCGGCAACCTTCTTGCTGTGAGGCGACAGTGCTAACCACCACACCACCGTGCTGCCCGTCTTTTTAATTCCTCTTACGATATTTTCTGCCATGCTAGCAGCATGGCTCTATGGATTTAGGTTGGTTGGTCCAGTTGGTTCACCACTTTGGTTCTGACTTAAATATATCAGCAGCTAGTGAAAGGACTGCCATGATGCTTTGCACAGACATTATTGGGCCTCAGACGAAGAACACTACTGAATTTATTGATCTGATGAAGGCAGAATCTTAAAAACCACTGGATGGATTGCCTTGAAATTTGAGACATAAATTAAAAGGTCCCAAGAAAATATCACTCCAACGACTTTGGCAATCCTCTGACTTTTTCTATAGTGACCAAGCCCCCAGAAACAGTGCTGGGCTTTGAGGCCAAATTTTGTTGTGGCCAAATCGTGGAATTTCACCTTTGGGGTCTGTCACGTGATGCCATCGGGCCTGAAAATACTTTTTCCAATAGATTTACACTGTGAAGAGATGTCTGCAAGTCAGTGGATACATTTTGTTGGTGCATGGTGCAACCTACAATTATTTTCATCAATGATTAATCTGTCAATCGTTTTTTGAATAAGCGATTAGTTGTTTGGTCTATAAAATGTCAGAAAATGGTGAAAAATGTTGATCAGTGTTTCCCAAAGCCCAAGGAGACATTCTCAAATGTCTTGTTTTACCCACAACCCAAAGATATTGAGTTTATTGTCACAGGAATAAAAAAACCCCAGAAGATATTCCAGAAAAATCATTTAGTTGTTTTTTTTTTAATTACTCAAACAGACTAATCAATTATCAGTTTAGCTAGCGATTATTTTAATAGTTGACAACTCAATTTATCATTGCAGCTCTACTGGGAAGTCAAACTTTGGCTTCATGTGCAGCTGAGCAACTTTCATGGAAATGAATGGGGCCCTGCCTCCAATGCTGTATCCAGTTCTCTTTAAATATCTACGATAGCGCCACGACGGGTGACATTTCACTTTTTATTGGAATATACCGAACAACTTCTGAATCGAATGGACAAAAGATTAATCTTAATCACTTATTTGATTCCCTGTCTTTTCATCGAGCATCATCTTCGGGTTACAACTCATACTTTATTTACTGACACAACAGCTGCAAAATTAATGACATACAGCCCCGGCTGTACTTTGGGTTTGGTGCTAATTAGAAAACGTTATCATTCAGTTCAAAGCACCGCAGTGCCTTAGTACAGCCTCACAGACCTTCTGCTTTGTTATTAGAGCGCAGAACCAGGAACAGGATCTGCAGTCAAACAACCTGAGATGCCAATAATGTTGCTATAATCACTGGCGACTGCTCAATAAAACACTAAGCTACCTGTGGACTTTTGCAATGTGGGATCAGCTGACGTTAATCATCAGATGAGCTCATATTACTACTGCACCTTTGTTTCTGCAGTCAAAGTATGAGCGTCTTTCTGAGGCAAATCATTTAAGAGGAAAATTCAGGTTGTCACACATTTCCTGCCAGATCCCTTAATAAGGTCTGTGGACTTTAACCTGTTATAAGCTTACTATGAATACACAGTAAACTCATTCAGGGTGCCTGTTAGCAGAGGGATCTCTTCACCTTGAAACAACAGTGGTGAAATATCAACTTATTCCTTTCTTTTAAAAGTTAATCAGTGTGGGGATGTTAGTGAAGCTGCTGCTGTCCGTTTGTCACCCCTCGTGTCAGTTACCTACCATAAACTCTTATTTTTATTCCACTAAACTGTCACTGAAATAAACACCTCCTCCTCAACGTTTGGCTTAGCTGAACGCAGATCATGTTAAGTCTTTTGACTGCTTCAAACAGAGAACGGAGAATGGAGTCTCTGTGTATTGTGTTAAAATATGTTAATGAGTGCAAGTTTTGGAGTGAGTTTCGGGATTTGGGTGAACACTCAGGTGTTTTTTTCTGTCTAACACGGGGAACTGGAAACCAACCTTGGGGTAGCAAAAGCCAAATGTGTACATCCCACCTCTTATGTGCAAAATACGTATTTTAAAGAAGAAGCAGCTCACTGTCATGGCATGTGACAGCAGGTAAAGATTCCCAAACTGGCAACATGTGCACAGGTTATATGGCGTAAATATCCCCTGAGTCCCTGGATGTTTTTGTGTGACAGGTAAAAATAAAAAAGAATTAAACAGTGTGATGTCTGCTTCTGCTGGTTCACAATTCCCTCAAGAGTTTAGTATCTGGGGGAGATCAATAGTTGGCAGAAGAACAGGTTGACTTTAGCAGGCGCGACTGCTGCAAGCTTAAGTAAACTTCCATTTAATTCTGTTAGCTGAACTATGTTGACTGATCATCCAGTATGAAGTGTAACTTACATGTGAGACCAGTAGACTTTCATATATAGCTTAGCGTAGACCTGCCTGAGTTTTTAATGAATCACATTTTGGATAAAAATAACAAACCTTGCACTCATTCGTGATATTTTACTTGGAAACAACGACAGGAATGCGCTCACTGCATTTGTGTATCTATTACTGCTGTCTGTGTTAATTGGTTTGTTATATTATCCTCCAGCTGTCCTCTGGCATGACTATATAATGAAATCCGGTATCATCGCTGCCACTCTGCTAGTGCATGCACATTTCCACCACCATGACAGTGTTTGAAGAGACCAAAGTGCACTGTGCCACTTTGGCACAAATGGTTTTGTGTCCGGGAACAGGAGTGGTTTTCTTGGACAGGCACCAGAGTGACTTCATCTTCACTTAATCTTAATGTGAATTCCCATTTCACTCCACAAAGCTCTGCAACATGATGTACTGTACTAGAGACATATCTATCCTTACTCTACAGTCCACCCCTGTGTATAATTGTTCTCACATTTGTCTGCAATTAAGTGCTTCACCCTCTCTTTAACATCTCTTACCTCTTCAACCTCTGTGTGAATGGCATCCTTGCCCTTTTCTGCATGTCCTCTCACGACCTTAAAGTTGCTCATCGTCTTGCTGATCGTATGCTACATATATATGCTTTCACATTATTTTAATTTTATTTATTCATGTGCTTGCTTTGCAGCCCTAGGTAAAAGATTTTTTTATCTTTTTTTATACGCAATTAAAGGGATGATCCAGGTATTTAGTTGTGCACTTTTAAAAGTTGGAGACAGATTTAAAAAGGAATGGTCAAATCTGTGCAGACTATCCTTTTAGTCCTAGATCCTACACTTCCCATAATGCAACTCAATAGCATCTTTTATTAGACACCCCCACCCTGAACCCCCACCTCCGAAATGCTGGCTTCTTATAGACACCACTCCCTTAGCTTAAAGCAACACTTCACCGACAAAATGACTATTTATATATCGTCACGCCCTGCAGAGTTACATTGAATTTGTGAAGAAAGCTTTGTTTTTCTCATATGCTTCCTCATTGATTTATTGATTGATTGGGGACAGCATTTAACAACAGCAAAACAATACCAAATCATCCTTTCACAAGCTCTTTCTCAACTTGTGCAGTACAATCCAAAGCCCCTTTTACACTGCCAGATTTTCTGCGAATGTTGGGCCGTTTTGCCGGCAAGCTGCGAGCGTTTAGACACACAGAGCCGGACTGGTGAGTTGATCCGAGGTGCCCAAATTTTCCGCCGTGTAGGGGTAAACATATTGGTGGAACCTTTTTAGTTTAAAAAGAACGAGGCGCCCTTCTACCACGGGAGGGGCTGTCGATGACTTGTGGGAGGAGCTGTTGATGACGCCGCATGCGCGACCCACTGGCAGTGGACTAACAGGAAACAGCTGATAGCAGGAATGAGCAGCTAGTAGCAAGAGGGAAACACAAACCTGAATGACACTGTAAAGATGAGCAACTGGGGAGACAAGGAATTACGTGCCCTCCTTGCCCTCGCAAACGAAGAGGCCATAAACCGTCAAATGACGGGAACAGTGAAGGACAGGCCAACTTATGAGAGAATCGCCTAAGGACTGACCAGCTGCAGCTTCCCTCCCACGTCACTGTTTACCTCACACGCTGAGCTACACATTTTGTTACTTGCTCACGCCCCCCATTGCCCCAAAAAAGGTGCATTCTGTATTTAAACAAAAGTAGGCAGGCGGCATTTTGCTACACTCCCCGATTTTGTTTACTGCCAATGCTGAAAGAAGACTGATTGGGCTTTCCTGCAAATTTGCACAATTCCTATTTAAAAAGGGCTCAAGTTTAATCGCTCCAGTTGTATAAGATATACTTTATTGATCCCCCAGGGGGGAAATTCAAGTATGCTCAGTACTTCCCAAACACATGCGTTATCACTGAAAAACCTTAGTATTTGAGTCTGGCTCCGAACAGAGCATAGATAAGTTTCACTTTCAGTTCAGTTTGAGCACTACTGAACATATGACTGGATAAATGAGAATTGGATTACACTGCACGATTTGTGTGAGAGTTTATAAGCAGATATTTTTAAACAGTTTTGCTATGAATCAAAATGTTTGCCACTTTCCATGAAGGCATGTATGAAAATTCTTCCAAAATTCAAGGTAACATGGCATGACTAACTGATTAGAAATGCTCAGGTTGTGGGTGAAGTATTCCTTTAAATGGTGGGTTTTCTTTTAGGCACAGGGTGATGCAATACTCATTCCTGGCACACTAATGTAACACCAATACACTGGTCTACATGTGGTGGTACTGCAAAACTGAACCAGCAAAATGGATTTAGACTGGATGGATTTGGATTTGGATTAAGAAAATGGCCAAAATGTCAAGATATCTCGTCTGGGCACCTTTAAAAGTTTTAGGTCTTTGGTGACATCATCAGGGTTATTATCTCCAGAGCCACACGAGGTGCAGTAATACTCCTCATGACAATGGAATTCATGAGTAAAACAGTGGAGGAAATGGATTTTTGTGTGTTTTTGATTAATAAAACCTTGAGGAACAGAGTCTGTCTTCTGCTGTGCAGGCTGTAACGCCCTTGGAAGCTTATCAGAGCAGACTGATTTGACTACAGGACACAAAATAACGACCCATATCTATTAACTTGATTAATGTCAGACAGTCAGTGTCCCCCAGTCTTTGGTGAAGCCAGAGGCGGCTGTTTAAGTTCAACATCAGGGTTAGTGTCATGAGTTTAAGTTTAGCAGCTTGTGTCTGTCACGCAGCTCTCTACGCTGTTGGCGTAAACTCTCGCAGACTGCAGGGAGTGGCTGAGTGCGCATGCATGGCGCAAGCGGGGAGTCTCCCGGACATAGCGGAACAGACAGACTGACTCAGTGAGATGGAGCTTTGAAACAAGTTTCCCAACACCAAAGTAGCTAACAGACGTTGTGTACAATATACAGAGGGTCACTTGTACGTCTTGTTTTGTAATACAAGTGTGGTAATAGAAAGCAACGGGAGGCTTTACTTGGCGACATCTCCAGTTTACGTTGGAAAACTTTTTTTGCGCATTCGTAAATTGCGCCATAAACGATATAAATGGCCGTTTATCCGTTGGAAACAACTTCTGTATTTCCTCAGGGGCGGCAGCTGAGCTTTGTTGGTTAGGTTTGAATGCTTTCATGACCTTCTGTTATCGCGGTGTTCCTGAGCAAACACCACCGGTATCAGGACAAGCAAAGGCCTGTTAGCTAGCTAAACTTTGATGTTTCTTTAACGGCTAACGTTAACGTTATATCCGAGAGCGCTTCAAATAGAGAGTGTCAGCAAACTTTGGTGGGTTTAGTCCGGTTAAAACTTCACATAAATCCTCCCGGGAGGATGACTGTCCCGTTTCTGTCTTAAAATAGCAGCCCAAGGTGTGTGCCTGAGGAGAGGTCTCTGATTTGAGGCTCTGAAGTAACGTTACTTAGTTAGTTTGCCGTTCAAGACTCAACAGACACGTCCATTACGGAGCTAACGGTTCAGCCAACTTACCTCTCTTCACTTCACTGTATGCGGGTACCGTCGTCTTAAAATGTCTCCTCTCTGCTGCTGCTGCTCGTCCTCTGTTCCTGTTGTGGCGGAGGGGATTTCATGTAGTTCTCTCCATCAAACACACTTCAACTTGTTGATCGTTCAATGAGCCGCAATCCGCCTTTTTTTCTTCTTCTCTCTAACCTCAGGTTTATCGCCACATTCTCAAAGAAAAATCAAACGGTGTCGCACTTTCTGCTCAAAACTCTGTGTTGTGGTCGTAGTTTCGAGCTGGTCCAAGGCGGGTAAAAATGTTTAGCTTCTTACTTTTCCGTCTGATCAAAGCGGTGGGCCTCCCTCGGCTCGTGTCAGTGTAGCCGGGTACTTCAATTGGTCGGATATAGTGGATATTATGGTAGTATGTTCGGAGGAGGGGGGCAGGCTATTTAAAGTGACGTGAGCCTCTACGCTGTATGAAGTATGGTTAGTGCCACCAGGGCCGGTGTGCTGACAGTTTGCTTTACTCTTTCAGACCAATATAATGAACCAGGGTTCTCCCTTGTAATGACCTACCCCAGGAAAAACATTTTTTCAGTAGCTACTCAGGTCAGATATGTGTGAAAAGCAGATAAACTACCTGTAGAAATGTAGTTATATGTGAAGTAGGTCATCTGTCAAGTACAAATATTTATCAGTATGGTTTGAGCAAGCCACCCCACCCCCTTATTATCATTATTATTATTACTAGGAACAAGAGTTCATGAGAAATCAACACAGCTTAGCTAACAAACAATTACCGTAAATAGCAAACAATAAGAATAACATGTGCAAATAAGCAAACTCTGACCTTGTCTTGTTTTTTTTTTTTAATGCGCCCTGATGGCTTTTGCTTTTTTCACTTTCTCTTACTCCAATGCTCTACACATGCACCACATACACTCCACTCAACCATGTATATATATACACCGATCAGCCAAAACATTAAAACCACTGACAGGTGAAGTGGATAACTTTGATTATTTTGTTCCAATGCATTGTTCTGCTGGGAAACCTTTGGTTCTGGCATTCATGTGGATACCACCTGACATGTTCCACCCACTGAAATATGGTTGCAGACCAAGTAGCCCCCCTCATGACAACAGTACTCCCCAGTGGCAGTGGCTCCCCAGCAGGATAATCCACCATGCCACACTGCAAACATTGCACAGGAATGGCCCGAGGAATGTGAAAAAGACCTCAAAGTGTCAACCTGGCCTCCAGACTCCCCAGATCCCAAACTGAATGAGCATCTGTGGCACGTGCCATTAACCCACCTCACAGCCCACTGGACTAAATGGATCTGCCGCCAACGTTCTAGTGCCAGACACCGCAGGACACTCCCAGAGATCTTGTGTCCATGCCTTGACAGGTCAGAGCCAAGTCCGATCCAAGGAGGCCCCATCTTGGATTAGAGGCATACCCGGGGTACTGGCACATCACAAGAATCCTGCTGGGGAGGGGGGGGGGTATTTGGACTGCGACAGTGTTTGAGTGGGTGGAACATGTCAGATGGTATCCACATGAATGCCAGAACCAAAGGTTTCCCAGCAAAACAATGCATTGGAACAAAATAATCAAAGTTCACTTCACCTGTCAGTGATTGCAGTGATTGGTGTATATACATATACATATATAAACCATCAACACATACGCCCTGCCAGTCATCAGATACCCAACTGGTATAATTAGTTTGCCAGAGGAGGAGATAGAGACCACTGACATCACAACATGGAAGCTTCTCACAATGCATGGAGGGATTCATTCCAAGTCCAGCACCCTGAGGCTATACACTAAATGTAGTGAGGGGGGCTGAGGACTGGTGAGGCAGCAGAAGCCTGAGAATGTAGAAGAGGAGGATGAACCATCATGGAAGGACAAGCCCCTGCACGGCATGTACCACCAACAGATTGAAGAAGCAGCCGACACCCAGAAATCCTACCAGTGGCTGGAAAGGCTGGACTGAAAGACAGCACAGAAGCACTAATCATGGCAGCACAGGAACAGGCACTTAGGACAAGATCAGTAGAAGCAGGGGTCCACCACACCAGAGAGGACCCCAGGTGCAGGCTGTGCAAAGATGCTGCTGAGACAGTTCAGCACATAACAGCAGGGTGTAAGATGCAGGCAGGAACAGTGTACATGGAACGCCATAACCAAGTGGCTGGGATAGTGTACAGGAACATCTGCACTGAGTATGAGCTGTAAGTCCCAAAGTCAGAATGGAAGAAACCTCCTAAGGTGGTTAACCAACCAGACATCACTGTAATCAGCAAACAACAGAAGAAGACAGTGGTGATAGATGTAGCAATCCTGATCAACAGCAACATCAGGAAGAAGGAACACGAGAGGCTTGAAAAATACCACGGCTGAAAGAGGAGCTAGAAATTATGTGGAGCGTAAAGGCAACAGTGGTGCCAGTGGTAATCAGATATACCAGAGGCCTATATATTATATAGGCGTGGTAGGTATGGTATTTAGTGTTTGGTTTCACAGCCCCCAGTGCTCCGATTACCACTGGAACCTCTTTAAACCTCACCTTCCACATCTGTTCCGGTTGTTCCTTCAGCCCCTGGTACTTCTCAGTCTTTTCATGCTCTTTCTTTCTGATGTTACTGTCAGCTGGGATTGCCACATCTACCATAACTGCCCACTTTTGCTCCTTGTCAACCACCACAACATCTGGTTGCTTAGCTAGCAGCTGTTTGTCAGTCTGAAACGTGAAGTCGTTCGGGCTCTTAGCCCAGTTGTTCTCAACCATTGTCAGTGGAGTTTCCCATCAGGACTTGGGGACTTGTAGTGATTATAGAATTATTAATGCAACTCCATATTTATTTTAGCACCCTTTGCACTCTGCACCATTGCATATTTGTATTTCTGTTTATACATTTCATTTTGCTGTCAGTGTCACTGCAGAAGTAACTACAGTCTAGTACAAGGACTGATACGGTACATTCAAATAAAGCAAAATAAGTGAGAGTAACTGTGTCATTTTTGTGAGCTATTCCTTTTTAGACTAGTGTATGGTTTGTTTTCTGCCTTGACAGTTTTAGCTGTAGTTACTGCCTGTTTTAGGGCATGTTCAGACAGGCAACCGTGCTCATAATCAGGCCTCATGTTGAACCAGGCTCAATTATGTTAGATTTGACTGTCCTCAGGGCCCTTTTCAGAGGAGGTTTCCTTGTTGTTGTTGTTTATAATTCAGCACGCTAGGTTTAGGTCAGTGATCTCTATTTGGCACAGAACACATGTTGATCACACAGTCAGCATTACCATCCTGGTTTTCTGTCCTCTATGCCCACTTTTGGAAAGCTGCAGCCCAATTAAAACGTGCCTTTACCTTGATGGACTACGTAATTAATTAACTGCAGCCAAGATTAAAAAGACAGGCTGCCATATCTTCAAAAAATAAGACCAAGGTAAGAAAATAAGGAGATTAACCTGTACACTGCATGTTTTGTGTAAGTGTAGCGTCTTACCTCAAACATAAAGTCAAAACAACCCTGAGCCCTATCTATATAATGTTCTGTCTTGATTACTTTAATCTTTATGATGTCTTAAAGGTCGACTTACAACGTGATGGACTACACTTATTAACTATAATGCGTTACCGTTAAATAAACAACAGCCTGCAACCCAAGATTCTGTTAACAGATGAAGGTTCCCTCATGTTCTTCCTGGACTTTGTTGTGTGGTCATATCCAAACTGATAGAGAAAAGTGTGCTTAAAGTCGCTCTCCAAATACTCTTTAAGATGTGTTCAAATTCTCTGCTATGACTAATATTTGGTTTAACATGGTTTTCCCTTATTAAAAAGCTCTGTGAAGGGGCTGGAAGCAGATCTGCTTATGGATCTGGCCTCCGACCCACCCACCACTGCTGCTTGCACCAGGTTTCACTTTTGCTTTCTCCAGTGCTGACACAGTACTAAAACAAAGTTTGGAGAAAGGTCTGGCTACGCAAGACTAGGTTGATTGGTGAAAAAGCAGTGCACATCAAGATGGCTAACGTTAGTGTTACCAGGAGAGTCAGACCCAGACTCGGATGAAGCGCCCAATGTGCACCAAAATCGGTGACTAGCAGACATATCAGAACTGACAAGTACAAGGGCGTAGGTTTCTTCTCAGTACTGAGGTGGCACACATGTGAAACCGAGAGTTTGACCGTTTTCTGCAAGAAGATTTTGAGCATTAACCACTTAATTTCCTGCATTCTGGTGAATTTCTATGCAACAATTTGAGTCATTTCTGCATCATTTGTGGCGTATCCCTCTTATTCCTGAGGGTGCTACTGCAGAAATGATTATGGGGAAAACTTCCAGGGAGATAGTTGAAGTAGTTAGTCGCATTGACTGTCTATGGTTAGTCTCTTGGTGGCTCGCTGAGAACGATGATTCTTTTTTTAAAGTAATTTGCCTTCACTTTAGCAAATACTGCTTCATTTTAACAGATATTAAGCTAAGGTTAAATTAGCATTTTCTTAAATGTCCCTGTGGAGCTCTAGTACCTGTTGTTCTGTCTATGTCTGTAACGTTTGTAACAATCAGAATAAGCTAAATTTGTTGCTTCAACAACTGTGTCAAACACACCCAGAACAAAAAGGTATTGTTTCTCTAACCAAAGGTCAAGATAGGTCGCCACCTGTACTGTACAACGTTAATACAGGATTGTACTGAATCAATACAGGACGTAATTTGTACTGTATTTTTGTGGATAATGTATACACTATGTTTTCACATGCTTATAACTACATAAAAATAATAAAATCAAAGAAGTTGGAGAGCGGAGAAGTATTAAATAAGAATTTGCAGAAGAGAATGACACATAGACTGACAGGTCCGTCACTCAATGTCAGTACGTGACATCCCTGTCTGTCCCTGTGTGTCCCCGTCTGACTGCATTCTCAGCCAGCATAAGAAAATAAACTTAGTACCACACCTTGAATTATGTGTTTAGTCACCTCAGCTGCGAATGTGTTTGATGATGCTTCTTTATATTCCTGATGTAACTGAGGTCTGCTGCTAAAGTCAGCATCATGTTTCACTCAGTAGAACTTTAATTTAATAAATCAGCGGGTAGAAAATTGTGTAAACTGCGTTGTTAAGGCAGACAAGCAGAGGATTAGCTGGGAAACGTCACATTTATTCACTTCACATGGAGCTAAAATTAATACTGAATTATGTTGAATGTTCTCCCAAATGTCTTTGTGTCTGTTTACGAGTTGTAAGAAATTATAAAACGTCTATTAGAAGTAGATGTTTACCGCAAGCTGACTTGGTATTGAACAATATGCAAATGTAGCAGGGCAAGCTAATCGCTAACACACTTGTTTTAGAAGGAAAACAACCAATGCTTTGAGACAGCTGTCAGAGATATCAGAGGTAA